TTCGTAGCACCATATTACAACTCGTCAAAGAGACAAGTGAAGCCGATCCTTTGACCAAACGTGTGCTAATTAGTTGTGGTATCTCTCATGCCCTGTGATATTCACATTTCTTATATCCTCGTATCACGCCTTCACTGTTACAATTTTTGCCATGCTTACTTAGATGTAGTGTGGTGTGCCCCTCCTAGCAGCTTTCATGAGACCCCTCCATAGATGTCAAGTGCAAATATAGAGACAAAGCGTAGGACATCTATCCAAAAAATGAGATGCCTAAGTGGACCAAATTTGAATATAAGAAGGAAGTAGGTTTGAAGCCGGCAACATTTATTTTCTTCGTGTTATTGATGAATTATCGTTAACCATGGTGTCCTGCTCTGACAAGGTTCGTCACGTGACGGACAAAAGCTCAGCAAGGATTCATCGAGGTCGCAGGGCGGTGCGCTAGGGACCTATTCGCACAAATCTACAGCCATAGATCCAAGGCAATCCCTCACAGCCTCTGATGTAACCAACTTACGAATTTCTTCCACCTCTTTAAATTAAGTGGAAGGTACTCCAACATGTTCGTAACTGTTTTTGCGCCACATGAGTCAATTAGCCGAAATTGCTCCAAAATCAGCAAGAAAAATCGGTTTTTGCCAATTAACTTGTAGATTGACAAGCCTATTACGTAGCACTTGAATCCTTATATCAGATCCTCTTTGCAACATTGATCTCATTGCTACAGCTTAAGGCTTCTGTTTTATATTTATAATATATCTTACTATATTAACCATGGATGATTGTTGCCTGATGCTATTCGTTTTGTCCCACCTAGATTTATATTACTTGTGTCAATTTCATACTATATTTATATTAATTGAATCATTGCATCATAGAGCGTCATTTATTATTTTAGGTAACCATGATTTAGCCAAATCTTATGTGGCGACCAATCATGCCACTTCTGATGCCTGCTCGCACTCCGCTGATATTCAAGAGATGAAGACTATCCCAATTGTCCCATCTTTATCCTCCATTCCATCTACCGATGCTTCTCTCAATACAAACAACTTTTCTGGTTCTTATTTTCTCCTGGATAACGCGATATCCTCTCTTCGTCAACTTCACTTGCTTATGAGCCATATACACCGACTCGTGCCTGCTTTCGGCAATACTTCATTCATTCTGTTTGATGCAACTGTAACAGGCCTTTCTACGGAGAATGTGCAGGCTGGTATGCCTTATTTGCATGACACTTGGACAATTGGGCCGGTTCGGGATATTCTATCTCGACTTTCCAGGCTTCTGATCCGTCTTATGCATGGCCTTTGTCATGTCAGCGTTCAAC